GTTTCTCTTCCCAAGAAACTAAGATGTTGTTTAAAGGAGTAAAATTTAGGCACAAGAAAAAGTTGCAGGATATTTGTCTTTGATAGTTTAACTGTGTTATGAAATATAACAGAAATTGAAGAGATTGTCCGGGCTGGAAATCTTATGGAAAGAGATTCGGATTAGGGTGGCCAGCAACCAAGGGTATTGTAGGTAGAGGAGATTATAGGCAACAACCAAGCTTAAATTGAGGGGTGGAGTGAGAGGAGGGATGAGAAAGAGAGTGGCAGGGCAACTGAGAACTTCAAGGAATCCTATTGTTCTAGTAGTGCTGAATTAGTTTAAAATCAGTGAGGGGGTGCCTTAATGTTAGGCATTTTATAGTAGGTTAAATGGGGCTTGTAGGTTCTGACCAGAGTCATGGCATAATGCCAGAGATATTTTAATAAGTAAGGAGCAACACAGAAGTAGTCAGAGGTTGCTACGTTTTATTTGAGGTGAAAAGAAGCAAGGAAATTTTATGTAGGAAAACTAGGAGACTCAGTGAAAAGGCAGAAATCAGGAGGCGGTAGGAGGACTGAGTGACAGAGGAGTTGAACTAGAGATCTGAGGACCATTTGAAAGGCTACAGCAATGGAAAAGGAGAGGACGTCCAAGATGGGCCTCGTCTGGCTGCTGAGTGGAAAGACAGTGAAAACTACAGCCCAAAATTAGTGGCCTGGGCTCAAGGGGAAGAGAGGGCCTCCACTGGTTTTTAAACTTGCAGAGTTACTACACGTGACCTTTTGAATGCTGCTACATGGAGACTGAGAACAAGGGACTGGGGTGCACATGGAGCTGGGAGCCTGGGAGAAAGGCCTGGGTTCAGGCTCGGCGTCCTGCAGGGCTGCAGACGTTCACCTGGCACCTTTTGATGACTCATGTTTGTTCTGTCCCCTGTGTTTAGGACTATTGCTGGGAAGACCACGGCTATTCTTTGGTAAATCGCCTTTACCCTGACGTGGGACAGTTGATTGATGAAAAATTTCACATCGCTTACAATCTTACTTATAACACAATGGCAATGCACAAAGATGTTGATACCTCAATGCTTAGACGGGCTATTTGGAACTATATTCACTGCATGTTTGGCATAAGGTCAGTCTGTTTTCTTATGTTTATAAAGAGCTGTCTTCCGCTAGGAACAATGACGCAGGCACACAGAACACACATGCACAGACACCACCATCCCCTCCCCAGAAGCTTATTTTTATGTTTCTTATGCTTCAAAGAACCACAGGGCTGCAGCTGTGTGTGTGTGTGTGTATATATATATATATTTTTTCCTTTCTCTCTCCTAGTTAGGCAGCAGGGAGAGATAGGGACAGTGACAAGAGTTAAATGACAGCTGTCTCTAGGCAAGCCTGGTCCGTGAGCTGATGAAGAGGCCAGGCTTGCGACTCCATGTTTCTGATCTCCTGACATGCTCCTATTCCTGTGGATCGTCCTTCCCCCTAGGTCTCAGCCACATCCCCACGTTATGTAGGAAATGCAGCCGCCTGCCTACTCACGTGTGTACACAAGCTCCTTGCTGCACTGCCTCCTGGTTATCTTAGCTATGAAATGAATAGCAAGGAAAGCTTGACTTTATCAGTGACTCTGGTCAAAATCTACAAACTCCATTTAACCTACTCTAAACTGCTCCGGCATTTAAAGCACATCTGGGGCCGGCGCCGCGGCTCACTAGGCTAATCCTCCGCCTAGCGGCGCCGGCACACCGGGTTCTAGTCCCGGTCGGGGCGCCGGATTCTGTCCCGGTTGCCCCTCTTCCAGGCCAGCCCTCTGCTGTGGCCCGGGAGTGCAGTGGAGGATGGCCCAGGTGCTTGGGCCCTGCACCCCATGGGAGACCGGGAAAAGCACCTGGCTCCTGGCTCCTGCCATCGGATTGGTGCGGTGCGCCGGCCGCGGCGGCCATTGGAGGGTGAACCAACGGCAAAGGAAGACCTTTCTCTCTGTCTCTCTCTCTCACTGTCCACTCTGCCTGTCAAAAAAAAATAAAATAAAATAAAAATAAAATAAAATAAAAATAAAGCACATCTGACCAATTTTAGACCGAGTTCCAGAATCAGTGGCAAGACTGTTGACTTTTAGTCTCCCGAATGGTTGTAGGATGAGAACTCTCCCCCTTTTCCACTAAAAACCCAGTAGGCGACCTCAGGGCCTGTGTGATCAAGAATCTAGCGCCTGGTGGGGCAGGGCAAGTGGTGATGCACGTGACCTCCTGACTTGAAGCAGAACAGCCATTGCTTAGTGTAGACATTGAGGTCACACCCAGGCCACATCCCCTGCCCCACAATGTTTTCTGTTCTAACTACAGAAACTCCTGGAAACGTGAGTTTACAAATGCTAATTTTTGGGCCAGCGCTGTGGCTCACTTGGCTAATCCTCCGCCTGTGGTGCCAGTACCCCAGGTTCTAGTCCCGGTTGGGGTGCCAGATTCTGTCCCAGTTGCTCCTTTCAGTCCAGCTCTCTGCTGTGGCCCGGGAAGGCAGTGGAGGATGACCCAAATGCTTGGGCCCTGTACCCGCATGGGAGACCAGGAGGAAGCACCTGGCTCCTGGCTTCAGATCAGCACAGTGCGCCAGCCATAGCGGCCATTTGTGGGGGTGAACCAATGGAAGGAAGACTTTTCTTTCTCTCACTGTCTAAATCTGCCTGTCAAAAATTCTAATTTTTATAACATATTGGTAATAGCAGTAATAATTTGTTAATTTCTTACAGCAGTACTCATAAGCTCTGTTTCCAGAATTTGTTCATCACAATGTGGTTGCTTGCACATGACTGTAAATACACACTACTGCTTGGTACCCAGTGCTACAGTGTCAACTTCCAGCAGTGATTTGCTTGGGCACTGCACAATTTTCTGTTCCCCTCCCTATGTACTCTGCTTCTTATCCCCTTCCTACTCACTTATCCATCCTTAATTAAACATCGGAAAGCGATATCATTGTTGGCAGTAGCTGCCTACACAGAGAGGGAGAAAGAATACAGCACTTTCTATTTATGTACATAATTTCACAAGAAAAAAGATAATGCATTGAAAATCGTGTTATTCCCACTATGTCTTTTAACAGGTATGATGACTATGACTATGGTGAAATTAACCAGCTTTTGGATCGTAGCTTTAAAGTTTATATCAAAACTGTTGTTTGCACTCCTGAAAAGGTTACCAAAAGAATGTATGACAGCTTCTGGAGGCAGTTCAAGCACTCTGAGAAGGTACGTGCCCGTGCCCGTCGTGGCTCATTTACGCTGTGACACCCCCTCACCTGACACGTCGTCGGCTCTCAGTGCTCCCTGGGAAGGGAACCTCATTGTGGCGATGGAGAATAAAGGCAGGAGGGCATACTCACTGTCCAAGAGCTGGCAGAGCTGCTACTTAGGAAGAAGAAAACTATTTTGCTTTAGAGTTCTTCTTAATTGATTTGAAAGGCAAACAGATTTTTCCATCGGCTGGCCGATTCCCTAGATGCCCACAACAAAAAGTTTATAGAAAAAGTGATCAAAAGCTATTTATCTTGGTGCAAAAATATTTTGAAATCCATGCATATAAGGGGTCTTAGAGAAATTCTAGATTTCAGAATTTTCTTTGCACCAAAATAAACCTGTCATTCCATTCTATAAGTTACCTTGTATAACCAAAAGTGTCCACGCTCTTTGAAATATCTTTGTGGACGTTACTGAAGGATGTTTTGGCAAGGGAAGTTGGTGTTCTCATAAAGCAGTGTCGAGGTTTTCTGAAATGTCACAGCTCTCCCAGAAAAGAGATACCCAATATAAACAAAGGCTGAAAACATCCATCTAAAAAGAACATCAGTCAGCTTTTGTTTTTCTTCACTAAACCCAAGATGTGGAAGCTGATTGGTGGTGCGCTTCTCAAGGATAGAGCATACACAGACTTCTCCTCCTTGCCAGTGTCTAAACAAGACAGTATGACAGCTGTGTACGTAGCATTCACATCGGACAAGGGTACCTCGGAAAGTGGTGGAAAATGGCATTAATTAGAAGTTTACCTTGGAGCAAAAAAGTTTTGAAAGCCATGAAATTTCTTCATAATAGCCATCTTCCACAAATGTCTAAGCAAGCTGAAGATTATGTAAACTATGCAGGAGAATGGGTGTGGGTTCCGTGCAAACCCTTTGCCCTTTTACACGAGGGATGGGAGCAGCTACAGACTTCAGGGTCCTGGAACGAGTTTGCCATGATCCTGAGGGAACACCTGTACTGATCTGTGGTGTGTGTTCACTGATGCATTGAGAAACTGAATGCTTACACCTCTCCCTTATGTGATGTTGTGTTTCATATTTAGGTTCATGTTAATCTGCTTCTTATAGAAGCTCGGATGCAAGCAGAACTCCTTTATGCTCTGAGAGCCATTACTCGCTATATGACCTGAGGCCTTTCCTTCGCTGAAGATGAGTGGGGAGTGATCAGCGGATATAGTGTACAAGGGGAAGGTACCATGCCCCAGGACCAATGGTAGATCAAAAGAATTCAGAAATCCATTGTGCCACGATTCCTTTAGTTTCTGCTATTTTACTGTGGAAATACCACTGCTGGCACGAGCAGTGTGTGCCTGGCAGCTTCAAGTGTCGAGCTGTGAAGAAGAGCTGCCGTCCAGTGTTTTTGCTTTTTGACAGTATAAGATGCTGTGCAGCTGTTAATACAGCAGACAGTAACTCCAAATCCTGTTGCTTCTGTGTTAAATAAGATAACAAGAATTGGAGCATGCAAAGAATGGGACTTGGATAATGACTCAAGCTTTATACATAAAGAATTCTAGAAGATTTGGTGCTGCTACTCTGGCTGGTGGAATGAACAGATGGCTGTTCCAGTTAAGCTATTAGTAATAGACGTGAACACTGCTACTATCTGAGCCTTCATACATAATTTGTGTGGTTTCAAATTAAACTCGCATACATGTTAATTTTTTTGCATCTGAAAAATGCATAGAATTATTACTCACAGCTCAGCAAAGACCGTTTTGATGGTAACAGTTCATTTCTTTCTCTGTAGTTTTTTTTTTTTTAAACTCAGTTATTGACTGATAACTACATTACAGTGGCATTCTTTAAGATTGCTTTTTGAGAAAAATGAAAGTATGCACATTATAAGAAAAACTGGCTATCTTTTGATACGCTGTTCCACGAGGTTCTCTGACGCTGGTGGCAGCGTCCCCTCGCGGCAGCGTTGCTGCGGACTGCTGTGCAGCCCCAGGGCGCGCCACCCCGTGCTCCCTACTTTAAAGGGCATGCAGCTCCTGAAATAATAAAGCTGGAAAATATTTTTAGTCAGGTTATCAAATTTGATTTACAAAAAAAGCTAACTTTGTTTGGAATACAGGTTTGGAAAAAAATGTATTAAGAACTTTGTATTCTGGAAGCGTGAATTGCTTTTGAAGTCTGTCAGTATTATTGGTATTTTTCAATAAAGAATAATGTTTCTCCAATTTTATTTGCTGTCTCAATCTCTTAGGAAGTCATGACTTCCAAATCAGTAACGGTGGTGAGTTTCTACTCGCTTTCCTAAGCCGAGCAGAGTCACACTGTCTTCAGAGGAAGAGGCTTCTGGGAAACAGAGCTCCTGGGGCCAGACTAAGACTCAAGGAGAGCTGGGTGTAGGGCTGCGTGCTTAGGAGCGGATGGGCAGAGCTTCGAGAACATGGAGGTGGAGGCAGAGCCTGTCCTGTGCTCGCTGCTTTCTGTTGCTGTAGCAGACTACTTGAGACTGGCTCATTTACATAGAAAAGCAGTGTCTTTCGGCTCACGGTTCTGGAGGCTGGAAAGTCCAAGATCCAATGGCTGCCTCTGGTGATGGGTGTATGGTATGTCAACTTGTGCTGGAAAAAGAAGGGAATGGGTATGGGGCAGAGAGAAAGGGGCCAAACTCCCACAGACAGCTAACCCATTCCTGGAGGACAGGAGTAATCCTGACCCCAGCACCTCCCGTTAGGCCCCCTCTCCTAGCACAGCTGCAATAAGGAATTAAGGTTGCAACTGCACATGAACTTGTGGGGACACAAACCATATTCAACACGCCAGTGAGCAGACAGGACTATGACCTTGGTAACGGTATTCTCGTCATTAGATTTTATATTTAAAGAACTGTTTCTTGATAGCCAGCAGCAGTACATGTGTGGTCCTGTACACGGGATTGTGTCACGCCATAGCAAAACCTGGGAACCCAACAAGTAACTGCACCGAACAGACACAGAATTGTACTCTTGCTCTTGCTTTTTATTCATTAGGAAATAGACTACTTAGTAGAGGCTCTAACCAACAGAATGATAACAGGACGAGATCAATAGATTGTGCCATCTTAGCTCACTGATGCCTATGATCCCTTTTCAAGAAGCCAAAGTGGAACCAAAAACTGTAATGAATAACAAAGGGTGTTTATACCTAAGGCCATGAAAGTGCTCGGGATACGAAGTTGATGTTTCAGTGCCTCCCACGGAACAGGTGCTTCCTCTAACTCTGTTTTCTCAAAGTCAGCATGCAGGATTTCTAATGTTACTATGGAATCTTTTGAAACAAATAGTTTCCAAGGTAATTGGGGAAGACAGAATGCTCTAAAGAGATATCAAAACCCACCCGACCAGAGGAAAATTCTTATCTAAAATAATCATGAAAATATTTCTGGCTGAAGTTCCTAGAATTCAATTTCTTAAAATCTGGGTATCTACATTCATTGATAAAATTTGAAGAACTTTATTATTAGCTCAACCTTAATTAAGTATGTCTTACTATAAAAGTGGATTAAATTCCAAAGACATATTTATTCCCAATTATTTAGGCTTAACTTCATACATAAAGTGCTGATGTTTTAACAATTAATAGTGAAGGTGTGTTAATTCTGAGTGTAGCTATTCCATATCAGTTTGAATCCACTTTGCTACTGTTGGCAGGTAGGTAGGTAACTACAGCTCGTGGATAATCATATTTTCCATTGGCAAGATACTCCAGACGCTTATTAGCATATCTTTGTAGCTGTCAAGGGACAGTACAAGGCAGGTCGATGGGGGCAGGGAGGTGTGGGCAGCAAGATGGCAGGCAGACTGAGCTCTGTCCTCATCCTCCACCAGACCCTGAGTAGACGCAGACCCCGAGCCTTTGTGCGCACTCTAGAAACCGGCCAAGGCAGAGCCCTGGAGGAGGCTGCAGCAGATGGCTGGAAAGCGCCAGCATTTTGCTCACCATTCTCAACACTGCCTTGTGTGACCGGGAGGAATCTTCCCAAGTCTCAGTTCCTCCCTCGAGACAGAACACAAATAGAATTTCTGTTGGATGTTCTGACGTGGCAGGGGGCAGCCTGAGGGACTGATTTCTGTCTTCCTTCGGAGCTGTGGGTCGGGGAGTGGTGGCAGGGTTCGCCACCTGTAGTCTGCTGTGGGCCCACGCGACCAGCCTGGAGTGTGCAGTCCTGCAGGCGGTGTTGGGGGAGGAAGAGAGGACAGAGGCCTAGAAGCAGAAATGGAAACAGCTCCTGAGAAGCGGCAGGAGGGAGCTGCTTAAGGGAGTGGAGACAGTTCAAAGCAGCCATATGGTCAAGGATACTTCAAAAATATCCTGGAAAATAGCGTTAGATGATAAGGTTCATTTTCAGTAAGACCCCCCCGTACTGGAGCAGAAACACACAGCCTGGAGAAGACACACCCCAGAAAAGATTTGCGAGGTTCCAGCAGGTCTAAGCAGGCTCGTGGGTACAAGTCTCCCCTTGCACAAAGCTGACTGTGAAAACTGGGGCGAGTGGTGGTTTTTTCAAGTGCCCACATCTCAGCAGAAGATTGTAAGGCAAACAAAGGAATGGGGAATGTGGCTCAACCGAAGGAACCGATCTCCAGAAACTAACCCTGCAGAAATGAAAACCTACGACCACTTGAAGATAGTCAGCTAAAAGAGAATGGAGACAATTAAATGCAGTCAGAAAAAGAATGCATGGGCAAAATGAGAATGTCAATAAAGAGAACTAAAAAAGCAAACAAATTCTGCAGCTGAAAAATACAATAGCTGAACTGAAAGAATTCACAAGAGATTCAATAGCAGAACTCATACAGAAGAGCGAACCAGACAGGTCACTGGAAATCAGGTCAGAGCAAAGAAAGAATGAGACAAGGCCTACAAGAATTATGGAACATCATCAAGTGCACTAATGTGCGCATTATGGGAAATTCTAGAAAGAGCTAGAGAGCTTATCTAAGAAACAGCACAGGGGCCAGGCCATGGTGCAGAGTTAGGATGCTTGTGATACTGGCATCCACTTTCAGAGTGCCCGGCCAAGTCTGGGCTCCTCTGCTTCAGATCCAGCTCCCTGCTAATGTGCGTGGGAAAGCAGCAGAAGGTGGCCCAAGTGCTTGGACCCTTGACACTCAAAACGGGAGACCAGGATGGAGTTCCTGGCTCCTGGCTTCAGCCTGGTCCAGACCTGGATGTTGCAGCCACTTGAGGAGTGAACTGACAGATGTCATGTTTCATGCTACCTCTTCCTGCCCCATCTCTGCCTTTCAAATTAATTAATTAAATATTTTAATAAAAGTAATAATGGGCAAACATTTCCCAAATTTGAAGAAAGCAGCAGACACAGTAACTCATGAAGCCCAATGCACTTGCAAGCAGGATGAACAATCAAAGTGGAGAGGCAGAGCAAGACAGTGACCAGCCCAGATGCTCCATGCTCCGGCCAGCAGCTCCCACAGGGACCCCACCTTGCAGGGTCATTCACATACCAGGCCACCTTCACAAGAGCTTGCTAAGAAAGCCGGATGAGAGAACAGGGCGCCACGTTGTGCAGTGCAGGAAGAGGCCCCAGCTCCTGCTTGGAAGGCGGAGAGGAAGTAAGGTCCAGACTGGAAAAAATGATGCTGAAATTCATATGGAGACAGAGGAGACCTCGAATAGCTAAAGCAATCTTGTACAACAAAATCAAAGCCGGAGGCATCACAATACCAGATTTTAGGACATACTACAGGGCAGTGGTAATCAAAACAGCATGGTACTGGTACAGAAACAGATGGATAGACCAATGGAACAGAATAGAAACACCAGAAATCAATCCAAACATCTACAGCCAACTTATATTTGATCAAGGATCCAAAACCAATCCCTGGAGTAAGGACAGTCTATTCAATAAATGGTGCTAGGGAAATTGTATTTCCATGTGCAGAATCATGAAGCAAGACAGCTACCTTTCACCTTACACAAAAATTCACTCAACATGGATTAAAGACTTAAATCTATGACCCAACACCATCAAATTATTAGAGAGCTTTAGAGAAACCCTGCAAGATATAGGTACCGGCAAAGACTTCTTGGAAAAGACCCCAGAAGCACAGGCAGTCAAAGCCAAAATTAACATTAGGGATTGCATCAGATTGAGAAGTTTCTGTACTTCAAAAGATACAGTCAGGAAAGTGAAGAGGCAACCGACAAAATGGGAAAATATATTTGCAAACTATGCAACAGATAAAGGGTTGATAAACAGAATCTACAAAGAAATCAAGAAACTCCACAACATCAAAACAAACAACCCACTTAAGAGATGGGCCAAGGACCTCAATAGACATTTTCAAAAGAGGAAATCCAAATGGCCAACAGACACATGAAAAAATGTTCAAGATCACTAGCAATCAGGGAAATGCAAATCAAAACCACAATGAGGTTTCACCTCACCCCGGTTAGAATGGCTCACATTCAGAAATCTACAAACAATAGATGCTGGCGAGGATGTGGGGAAAAAGGGACACTAACCCACTGTTGGTGGGAATGCAAACTGGTCAAGCCACTATGGAAGTCAGTCTGGAGATTCCTCAGAAACCTGAATATAACCCTACCATACAACCCAGCCATCCCACTCCTTGGAATTTACCCAAAGGAAATGAAATTGGCAAACAAAAAAGCTGTCTGCACATTAATGTTTATTGCAGCTCAATTCACAATAGCTAAGACCTGGAACCAACCCAAATGCCCATCAACAGTAGACTGGATAAAAAAAATTATGGGACATGTACTCTATAGAATACTATACAGCAGTCAAAAACAATGAAACCCGGTCATCTGCAACAAGATGGAGGAATCTGGAAAACATTATGCTGAGTGAATTAAGCCAGTCTCAAAGGGACAAATATCATATGTTCTCCCTGATTGGTGACAACTGAGTACCAAAGGGGAAACCTGTTGAAGTGAAATGGACACTATGAGAAACAGTGACTTGATCAGCCCTTGTCCTGACTGTTGAAATACAATGTAATACTTTATCCCTTTTAGTATTTTTTTTTTTGTTCTAGTACTATTGGTTGAACTCTGTAATTAACACACAATTATTCTTAGGTGTTTAAATTTTAACTGAAAAGTGATCCCTGTTAAATATAAGAGTGGGAATAAGAGAGGGAGGAGATGTACAATTTGGGACATGCTCAATCGGACTTGCCCCAAATGGTGGAGTCAGAAATGCGCCAGGGGATTCCAATACAATGCCATCTTACTAGTACCAATGCCATCTTACTAGTCCAAGCGATCAATTTCTGTTCACAATTGATCACACTGATAGGTCTAAGAGTCAAAGGGATCACACAAACAAGACTAATGTCTGCTAATACTAACTGACAGAATCAAAAAGGGAGAGAACTATCCATCATGGGAAGCGGGATACACAGCAGACTCATAGAATGGCAGATGTCCTAAAGAGCACTCTGGCCTCAGAATCAGCCCTTAAGGCATTCGGATCTGGCTGAGGAGCCCATGAGAGTATTTTAGGCATGGAAAGCCAAGACACTCTGGAAAAAAAAAAAGACCTAAATGAATGATCTCTGCGAGTGAGATCCCAGTGGAAAGAACAGGGCCA